ACCCTACGGCTGCCAACAGAATTCTGCCCTGAGCCAGGGATTCCCCGATGTGGGGGCCAGAGGTGGCGGGGTGCCCACCCAAGGGCTTCTTGGCACCGCCAAGCCGGGGTGGTGGTGGTGGTGATGAAGAGGGTCGTGCAAGGATTTGGGAAACCTGGCCCTGCACTCCTACGTGTGCCACGGAGGCTGGCTGGTTGCTCTTGGGCTAGCCACGCTCGCTCAGCCTAAGCTACCTCACAGGGTTGTTGTGAGGGTAAAGTGGAGGGGAGGAGAAATGACGTAAGCCGCTTTGGCTCTCCACTGGGGAGAACAGTGGGGAAGGAAGGAAGGAAGGAAGGAAGGAAGGAACTTCAGAGTCTCAGAGCAGCTTACAAACTCCTTTCCCTCTCCCCACAACACCCTGTGAGCAGTGTTCCTTCTAAGCTGAGTTAGTGTGAGCTAGCCTCTGGCTCACACATTTTTATCTTAGCTCAGGGAGGGTGGCTCCAGAGCAAACTAATTGATGCAGCAGCCAAATCGCTCGTTCAGAACTTTAATGCCAGTGGCTCACAAAGTAGAATTTTTGCTCACAAGACTCCACAGCTTAGAAGGAACATTGCCTGTGAGGTAGGCGGGGCGGAGAGAGCTCTGACGGAAACTGCTCTTTTTCAAGAACAGCTATGCCAGAACTATGGCTTGCCCAAGGTCACCCAGCAGGTGCAAGTGGAGGAGTGGGGAATCAAAACCCGTTCTCCCAGATTAGAGTCCGCGCACTTAACCACGACACCAAAGAAGAAGAGGAGGAGGCGGAGGAGGAGATTGGATTGATACCCCGCCCTTCACTACCCAAAGATGTCTCAGAGCAGCTTACAATCTCCTTCCCCTCCCCCTTCCCACAACAGACACCCTGTGAGGTAGGTGGGGCCGAGAGAGGTCTTGACAGAAAGTGATCTTTTTCAAGGCTTGCCCAAGGTCATCCAGCCAGGTGCAAGTGGAGGAGTGGGGGAATCAAACCCGGTTCTCCCAGATTAGCGTCTGTGTGCTTAACCACTACACCAAACTGGCTCTCCTTCTGGATCTTGGGAAAGAATACCGTAGACTCCTAAAGCTGGAATGAGCCTTGTAAGACAGCTAGCCCAACTCCCTGCTTAATGCATGAAATCTAACACCCCCACCCAGCCCGGACATATGACATCTAAAGGACCTAATTTACACCAGGGAAAAAATAATAAAGAGCTTTTGCATTGCCTCCTACAAACTGACCAGAAAAACACCGACTCCCCCCCCCCCCCCCCGGGTAAAACCCCCCCCCCCCCCCCCCCCCCGGGTGTGTGTGTCACAATTACAAAGGCTCGTCTTAACCGCAGACACGACCTCTCTAAGGTCCCTGGCCTGGAAGACTCTCCCTGCAGATGCACATGGAGCGAGCAAAGAAACAGCATTTTGCACCCCAGTCAAAGAACTAATCCTGGTTCTTCTCCACCTCCTCGGTGCAGGAGGAGCCCAGCCCTTTTACACACAATGCTGCCCATTCAGAGGCAGCCATCTCCAGGGGTCATTTCCTGCAGAAGCGCACAGGCGCGGAGCTCCGGCAGTAAAGAGCCCAGGGGGCGGGCACATGCAACAAGCCCCACCCCCTGCTCCCAGCAGCCCTCAGTCAGAGCAAGAAGCAGCCAGATAAGTTGCAGAGCCCCCCCCCTGGCCCCCCAGCCAAAACAGTCCAGTGGCACCTTTAAGACCAAGTTTTATTCAGGTACAAGCTCTCCCTCTTCCGTGAGGGCAGATCTGCACGTTCTCCCCCCCCCCAATAGCTAGCAATCTAAAACAGTCCAGTGGCACCTTTAAGACCAAGGTTTATTCAGGTACAAGCTCTCCCTCCTTTGCGAGGACAGATCTGCATGTGTCCCCCCCCTCCCCCAATAGCTAGCAATCCAAAACAGTCCAGTGGAGCCTGAGCGGTGGGTGTTGCCTTCTGATACACTTCCGGTGATGTCAGGGGGTGTGGCCTATGCAAACAAATTATGCTAATGAGTTATGCTAATGAGCTCCTGCACCACTTTTTCTACAAAATGACCCCTGGCCATCTCCATCGCGAAGAGAGGCCTGGCTGGGAATCTCAACAGGTTGTGGAACCGACTGGCCTCACTCCCGCGGCGGCCATTTTGTGACGGCACCAATGCTCCCTCTAAGCTGTGGAGTCTTCTGAGCAAAAATTCTACTTTGTGAGCTACCGGCATTAAAGTTGTGAGCAAGTGATTTGGCTACTGCATAAATTAGTTTGCTCTGTAGCCCTTCCTTCCTGAGCGGAGACAAAAATGTGCGAGCCAGAGGCTAAAAAAACTGTGCTAGCTCACACTCACTCAGCTTAGAGGGAACGCTGGACGGCACCTAATACCATCTCTCAACCTTCCAACAACACATCTGCCGACTCAAAAGCACTGTGGAACCCTGCACGAAGCATTCAACGAAGCTTCCAAGGACATCCATTATCAAGAAGTGTTCCATCGTACAAGGACATAGGCAGAAGCTCGCCTGCCTTCTGAATAGAGTGGTTTTCAAAAAAACATGCAACAAACGGTTCTTAAAACCTCCTATTTTTAAACTCTCTCCTTTCCTGTTGAAATTGTGTTTATATTTATGAATTTCAATGGCTTCCCTGTGTAATCTGACATGGTAATTGGATGTGTTGTCCAGCCTTTCAGTGTCTTCGAATAACGGCTCGTTAAAAACTTGGTTTCATAGGACATTCTTCGTTAACGTTTTATGGGCTCAGGAATGGTTGGAATAAGGATGCCCGACTCAACAGTATATTAGGCACGGGCTGCATCGAAGGGACAGAACATCCCTAACGGTGCCTGATGGCACCTGGTATTTCTGGCCACTGTGTGACACAGAGTGTTGGACTGGATGGGCCTTTGGCCTGATCCAACATTGGCGTCTCTTATGTTCTTAGGAGGAGGATGAGAAGGAGGAGGGGATTGGATTTATACCCCGTCCTTCACTTGGAGTCTCAGAGCGGCTTACAATCTCCTTTCCCTTCCCCTCCCCACAACAGGCACCCTGTGAGGTGGGTGGGGCTGAGAGAGCTCTTGACAGAAACTGCTCTTTTTCAAGGACAGCACTGTGCCAGAGCTTGTGACTGACCCAAGGTCACATCAGCAGGTGCGAGTGGAGGAGTGGGGAATCAAACCCGGTTCTCCCAGATTAGAGTCCGCCCCCTTAACCACCACACCAGACTGGTGTATCTGAAGGGCTGCCATGTAGAAGATGGAGCGGATCTATTCTCTCTTGCTCTGGATTGCAAGACTAGATCTAATGGGTGGAGATTACAAGGGAGTTGTTACCGGCTAAATAGCCTGCTTGGTATAGTAGTTAAGAGTGGCTGACTCTGATTTAGGGAACGGGGAAGTTTGATTTCCCACTCCTCCTCCTCATGAAGCCAGCTGGGTGACCTTGGGTCAGTCACAGCTCTCTCAGACCTCTCTAAGCCCCACCTGCCTCACAAGGTGCTTGTTGGGGGGAGAGGAAGGGAAGGCGGCTGTAAGCCACTTTGAGACTCCTTCAGATAGAGAAAAGCAAGGTATAAGAACCAACTATTCTTCTTCCTCCACATACAGCCAGTTGGGTGACCTTGAGACAGTCACAATTCCCTCAGAGCTCTCTCAGTCCTACCTGCTTCACAGGGTGTCTCTTGTGGGGAGAGGGAAAGGAGATTGTGAGCCACTCTGAAACTCCGAGGGAAAGGCGGGGTATAAATCCAATCTCTTCTTCTTCTTCAACCCTGCCTGCCCCACAGAGCTGTTGTAAAGAAAAAGTGGAGGGAGGAAGAGCTACGAAAGGCGCCCACCCGAGCTTCTTGGGCGGAAGTGAGGTTCCAAGTGTCACAGATGGTCCCAGGAGAAAAGAGCCAGAGTCTAGCATACCTTAAAGACTAACAAAATCTGTGATCAGTGAGAAGAAGAGGAAGACTGGATTCATACCCCAGCCTCCGCTACCCAAAGCAGTCTCAGAGCACCTTACAATCTCCTTTCCCTTCCTCTCCCCACAACAGACACCCTGTGAGGCAGGTGGGGCCGAGAGAGCCCTTTCGAGGACTGCCCTTGAGAGAACAGCTCTGAGAGAACTTGTGACTGACCCAAGGTCACACCGGCAGCTGCAAGTGGAGGCATGGGGAACCAAACCCGGTTCTCCCAGATTAGAGTCTGTGCTCCTAACCACGACACCACACTGGCTCTCGTGTGCGTCCCTGCTCTAGGCCTGCCAGCTCCGGGCTGGGAAATACCTGGAGATTTTGGAGGTGGGGCCTAAGGAGGGGGGGGTTTGGGGGCATGATGCCACGAAACTGAAAGCAGTGCTGCTCTGCGGAACTGCGCATGCGCACACAAATGCGAGACGCTTGTGTGATCGCGCCGCGCCGCTTCTTTGCCAGGCTGAAGCATCACCGTGTGATCGCCAGCTAATGGCCGAAGCGCGGAGACTCCGGGGACTGTGTGATCGGACTACCACGCTTTATTTTGCTCCGGGGCCAACAGCCACACCTCCCCCCACCACCACCGCGTTATCTGGCCCGTGCGACCAGGGCCTTGGGGAAAACTGCTGGCATTAAACCTGTGAGCCAGCGATTTGGGGCTGCTGCATACATCACTTATTTATTTATTTCTGATTTTCCGATTCTCTATCCCGCCTTGCCCGCACAGGCGGCCTCAAGGCGGCCTGCAACGAGTTAAAAATACAATAAGGCACAGATGCGTAGATGCAGTACTATAAAAAAAAATTCGCATAGAAACAATATGCACATAAAGTCTGCTCCGGAGCTGAGACTGAGACGCGCGCGCCGGAGGCTAAAGAGCCGGCTCACACTTCACTCGGCTTAGGGGGAGCCCTGCCCATGTAGGACTCCAGGGCGGCTGCACGCCCCGACCCCCTGCCACGCCTGCCTTTCGGACACTTTCAGATCACGGAACACTTTCTTTGCATTGTTATTTCTATGGCCAGGGAGGCCGGGGGGGGGGGGTTCCCACCTGGTAACTGAGCAGCTCTCCCACGTCCATGGCCGGTTCCTGCGCGCAACTTCCTACCGGACCGCCGCAAAAACGCCGTAAAGCAGGGCGGCCCGAGGCGCGGCGCCGTAAAGCAAACACCCGCGCGCCGGTGCCACGCGACCGTAAACCGCCGCTTAGAAGCGCGCGCCAACGCTCCGCCGCGAGGGAAGGCGGGGCCGTAAATGCTCTCGGCGAGCGCAATCAAAAAAAAGGAAGCGGAGCTGTTGGGGTTGCGCGTCTCGCCCGGGCTCCTCCTGACGGCCCGGGCATTGGGCGCCTGCCCCCGGGGAGGGATGCCCAGCATCACCGCCTGCCGAGACCGCGCGTCCCTTCCTCGGCAAGGCGTTTGCGGGGCGCTGCCAAGTGCCAGCGAGGGGTCCCGCCCAGTGTTTCCTCTAAGCTGAGTTAGTGTGAGCCAGTTCACAGTTTGTTAGCCTCCAGCTCACACATTTTTTGCCTTCGCTCAGGAAGGAGGGCTCCAGAGCAAACTAATTTATGCAGTAGCCAAATCGCCCGCTCACAACTTTATTGCCAGTAGCTCACAACGTAGAGTTTTCGCTCACAAGACTCCACAGCTTAGAGGGAACATTGGTCCCGCCCCGGAGAAGCCGGGAGAAGACCCGCGTGCATCTCTTGCCTTGCGCGTGTTGAGTAGGTTTGCCGACTCCCGGGCGGTGGCTGGAGGTTTGCATCGCGCCTGCCTGCCCCCGGGGATAGGGTGACCCTATGTTGGGAAGCAGAATAAAAAGAGGCCATATTTCCGACCGTCTCCTTCAAACGCGTGATCCCTCTGCACATCTCATTGGAAGGTAAAGGTAAAGGTTCCCTTGCTCGAAAGCCAGTTGAATCCGTCTCTAGGGTTGTGGTGCTCATCTCCGATTCCAAGCCGAAGAGCCAGCGCTGTCCGAAGACGTTTCCGAGGTCATGTGGCCGGCATGACTAAACACCAAGGTGCACGGAACGCTGTTACCTTCCCACCGAAGTGGTACCTATTTATCTACTTGCTTTCGAACTGCTAGGTTGGCAGGAGCTGGAACTAGAGATGGGCGCTCACTCCGTCATGCGGCAACCCGGGTCTTGAACTGCTGAACTACTGACCTTCCACAGCCTGCAGTTCAGCGTCTTAACCACTTGAGCCACCACAGCTGCTGGTGCCTATTTATCTACTTGCAATTTCTTGCTTTCGAACTGCTAGGTTGGCAGGAGCTGGAACTAGAGATGGGCGCTCACTCCGTCATGCGGCAACCCGGGTCTTGAACTGCTGAACTACTGACCTTCCACAGCCTGCAGTTCAGCGTCTTAACCACTTGAGCCACCACAGCTGCTGGTGCCTATTTATCTACTTGCAATTTCTTGCTTTCGAACTGCTAGGTTGGCAGGAGCTGGAACTAGAGATGGGCGCTCACTCCGTCATGCGGCAACCCGGGTCTTGAACTGCTGAACTACTGACCTTCCACAGCCTGCAGTTCAGCGTCTTAACCACTTGAGCCACCGCAGCTCATTGGAAAGACCCCTCCTATTCAAGTTGTGGTCTTTGCTGCTAGCCATGCTCCCTCTAAGCTGTGGAGCCTTGTGAGCAAAAATTCTACTTTGTGAGCTACTACTGGCAATAAAGTGGTGAGTGAGCGATTGGGCTGCTGCATAGATTAGTTTGCTCTGGAGCCCTCCTCCCTGAGCGAAGACAAAAAAACTGTGAGCCAGAGGCTAAAAAGCTGTGAGCTGGCTCACAATAACTCAGCTTAGAGGGAACACTGGTTGCTAGTAACTCTGACCCTGTGGCTGGGGTGAGCAGATGGGGCGGCAGGCACAGCCTTCTGCCCCCGGGATCGAGGTCCCTCATGGGAATGGGGCAGGAAAACATGAGTTTGGCTTTGTATGTTGCGAGGTGGGGGGGGGGAGACCCGTGGGCCTCAGGGCTTGTGTGCATTAAGTACTGTTGCCAACTTCCAGGTGGTGGCTGGAGAATTCCTGGGATTACACCTGATCTCCAGGCGACATAAATCACGGAATGTCAGAGTGGGAAGGGACCTTGCAGGTCATCTAGTCCAACCCCCTGCACTCTGCAGGAGCACAGCCGAAAGAGAGCCCTGCAACATCCTCGAAAGAGGGTCGTCCAGCCTCCGCTTGAAAACGTCCAGCCAAGGAGCCTCCACCACCTCCCGAGGCAGACTGTTCCACGGCTCAACCACTCTTGCAGACAGGAAGTTTCTCCTGATCTTTAGCCGGTAACGACTCCCTTGTAATGTCCACCCATTAGATCTCATCTTGCAATCCGAAGCAAGAGAGAGTAGATCCGCTCCATCTTCTACATGACGGCCCTTCAGATATTTGAAGACTGCAATCATGTCCCCTCTAAGCCTTCTCTTTCCCAGGCTAAACACACCCAACTCTCTCGGCCTTTCCTCGTAAGACTTGGATTCCAACCCTCTCGCCATCCTGGTTGCCCTCTTCAGGACACGCTCGAGCTTGTCAACGTCCTTCCTCAAATGTGGTGCCCAAAACTGGACACAGGACTCCAGGTGAGGCCTGACCATAGCAGAATAGAGCGGAACTACCACCTCCCGTGATCTGGACACAATGCTTCTCTGAATGCATCCTAAGATTGCATTAGCTTTCTTCAACACTCATAGAATCATAGAATGTTAGAGTTGGAAGCAACCTTACAAGGTCATCTAGTCCAACCCCCTGCACTCTGCAGGAGCATAGCCCAAAAGATAGCCCTACAACATACCCGAGAGATGGTCATCCAGCCTCCGCTTGAAAACGTCCAGTGAAGGAGCACCCACCACCTCCCAAAAGTTAGGAAGTTTCTCCTGATATTTAGCCGGTATCGACTCCCTTGTAATTCCCACCCATTAGATCTAGTCTTGCAATCCGGAGCAAGAGAGAATAGATCTGCTCCATCTTCTACATGACAGCCCTTCAGATACTTCAAGACTGCAATCATGTCCCCTCTAAGCCTTCTCTTTCCCAGGCTAAACAGACCCAACTCTTTCAGCCTTTCCCTGTAAGACTTGGATTCCAACCCTCTCACCATCCTGGTTGCCCTCTTCTGGACACGCTCGAGCTTGTCAACATCCTTCCTCAAATGTGGTGCCCAAAACTGGACACAGGACTCCAGGTGAGGCCTGACCATAGCAGAATAGAGCGGAACTACCACCTCCCGTGATCTGGACACAATGCTTCTCTGAATGCATCCTAAGATTGCATTAGCTTTCTTCAACACTCATAGAATCATAGAATGTTAGAGTTGGAAGCAACCTTACAAGGTCATCTAGTCCAACCCCCTGCACTCTGCAGGAGCATAGCCCAAAAGATAGCCCTACAACATACCCGAGAGATGGTCATCCAGCCTCCGCTTGAAAACGTCCAGTGAAGGAGCATCCACCACCTCCCAAAGCCATCTGTCCCACTGCTCAACCACTCTTACAGGAAGTTTCTCCTGCTATTTAGCCGGTACCGACTCCCTTGTAATTCCCACCCATTAGATCTAGTCTTGCAATCCGGAGCAAGAGAGAATAGATCTGCTCCATCTTCTACACAACAGCCCTTCAGAGACTTGAAGACTGTCATCATGCGGTCTGGAGGAAAAGGCTGCTTTGGAAGGTGGACCCTCTGGTATCATACGCCGTTGAAGTCCCTCCCCGCCCCAAACCCCGCCCACCTCAGGCTCCACCGGCAAAAACTTCAGGTACTTCTCATCCCAGAACTGGCAACCCTGGTGTTAAATGGCCAGCAAGTCACTTCCGACTTATGGTGAGTTAATGACTCCGTGGCCTCCAAAAACCCCTCTCATTCACAGCCTTGCTGGGGCCCGGCAGAGGGAGGGGCCCGGGTGGCTTCCTGGATGGAGCCCATCCCCCTCCTACCGGGTCTTCCTCATTTCCTGCCGCCTTCCGTTTTTCCTAGCAGGATTCTCTTTTCCAGGGACTCTTGTCTTCTTGTGATGCGGCCAAAGTACAAGAACCTCAGTTTGGTCCTTTTCGCTTCTAAGGAGAATTCAGGCTTGGTTTGATCTAGAAATCACTTGTTTGTCAGCCTTCTCCATTGTCCAGTTTTCACGCCCATACATAGAATCATAGAATGTTAGAGTTGGAAGGGACCTTGCAGGTCATCTAGTCCAGCCCCCTGCACTCTGCAGGAGCAGAGCCGAAAGACAGCCCTACGACATCCCCGAAAGATGGTCGTCCAGCCTCCGCTTGAAAACGTCCAGGGAAGGAGCATCCACCACCTCCCCAGGCAGTCTTTTCCACACACTAATGGGGGATACTATGGCATGAATTAACTTGGTCTTGGTCGCCAGTGATACAGCCTTACATTTAAGAACCTTTCCGGGCTCCTTCATGGCTTCCCTTCCCCGTCTCTGTCTCCTGATTCCGTTGCCGTCTCCCTTTGGGTTGATGATGGAGCCAAGAAATGGAAAATCTTTAAGAAGGGGAGGGCAGGAAGGGTTGCCTCAGTGCTTAGGTCTCGTGGCCCTTTCTTACACGCCCAGGGAAATCACCACGTTGGGGTCAGGAAGCAATTGTTCTCCAGGCCAGTTTGGCCAGGGATCCTGGAGGGGTTTGTTTGTTTGTTTTGTCATCTTCTGGGCGTGGAACAGCAGTCACTGCGGGTTTGGGGGGGGGGTTATTTGTGAATTTCCTGCATTGTGCAGGGGGGTGGACTAGATGACCCTGGAGGTTCCTTCCAGCTCTATGATTCTATGATCTTTCCGTTGTTGTTGTTATTCAGTCACACAGTTGAGTCGGACTCTTTGGGACCCTTTCCTTACGAATGCCAATTTAGGCCTTCGCAGACAAAAAACGCTTGGCTATTTTCTTTAATTTTTACAAATCCACTGCAAGTCTCTTGTGCTTTCTCCTTCTATAGAAAATACTCCATAGAAGCAACAGCCTAAATGTTCTATATTTGGCCGGGGGGGGGGAGTAAAACCCTGAGGATAAATGCTTTTCATTTGCAGCCAGATCCAAAGTAGCGAATGAGCAAAATGTGTTAGCGAGCTCTGATAGTTAGGAAAGCGAAAAGCTAATTGTCTGGAATCCTA